TAGTAGTAGTAGTAGTAGTAGTAGTAGTAGTAGTAGTAGTAGTAGTAGTAGTAGTAGTAGTAGTAGTAGTAGTAGTAGTAGTAGTAGTAGTAGTAGTAGTAGTAGTAGTAGTAGTAGTAGTAGTAGTAGTAGTAGTAGTAGTAGTAGTAGTAGTAGTAGTAGTAGTAGTAGTAGTAGTAGTAGTAGTAGTAGTAGTAGTAGTAGTAGTAGTAGTAGTAGTAGTAGTAGTAGTAGTAGTAGTAGTAGTAGTAGTAGTAGTAGTAGTAGTAGTAGTAGTAGTAGTAGTAGTAGTAGTAGTAGTAGTAGTAGTAGTAGTAGTAGTAGTAGTAGTAGTAGTAGTAGTAGTAGTAGTAGTAGTAGTAGTAGTAGTAGTAGTAGTAGTAGTAGTAGTAGTAGTAGTAGTAGTAGTAGTACTACTACTAGTAGTTGCACCATTATGTGAGGGTGAGTATTCGCAGTGTACCGAAGCCGTGCGCCCAATAATTGAGGCAGCCGTGCCACAGCTTGCTGCCGATAGCACGCGAACGGCTGCGAGCCGGCCAGATGCAGCTGAGGGGTTGGCCGAGGTCGAATTGGCGGATGAGGAATCGTCCGGAGAGGCAGTGGAGCGGAACTCAGTAACTAACATCAACAACGTGGAAGCTATGCCGCTGAATTCTGGGTCGGTGGATATTGTCTCTGCTGACCGGGAGCGCGGTGATGTTCGTTCTCTGGATGGAGGTGATGCGTCAGAGATTTGGCTCTCACTGCGTCCGCCGCGTCACACAGTCAACAATGAAACCTCTGATGAGTCTCTCACCTCATCATGGCTTCCGCACCGGCCACCGTCAGCTTCAATGGAAATTCCGTCACGCGATGCTAGCGTTAGCGAGGCTGTGATGGAGACTCGCCAGCGTTTAAGAGAGGGCAAGAAGAAGAGAGAAGCTAGGGACATAGAGATCCTGGCCACAGTACATGATCACCTGACGCCAGACCAGCGATTCTTGGTGGAGATAGCTGGTGAGAAGGGCGTGTCCTCCTGGCTGACTGTTGAACCAAGGACCGCCCATGGCACAACACTTAACAAATCAGATTTTCGAGATGCTGTGGCGCTTCGGTACGGTCTACCGCTTGATGGTCTTCCAACGAACTGTGTATGCGGAGCTAACTTGTCGACTGACCATGCCATGGTGTGCCCTTGTGGTGGCTATCCCACCGCAAGGCATAATGAGATACGTGATCTCATCGCTGAGCTACTCAGAAGTGTAAGTCCCGATGTGGCAATCGAGCCCAACCTTCTCCCATTTGGTGGTGAGACATTGGCATGGTCAACATCTAACCGATCCCAGGAAGCGCGGCTTGACGTCAGGGCTCGTGGCTTTTGGACGCGGCAGCAGGAGGCCTTCTTCGATATCCGGGTAACGCATCCCAGGGCCACCTTGCTGTCTCGTGAAAAAGCCATGAGCCAATTGGAGCGCAATGAGCGGGAAAAAAAGCGGCATTACGCAGAGCGAGTGAATCAGATCGATCGGGGCACATTCACCCCCCCTCTGGTATTTGCGACCAACGGCATGATAGGGAAGGAGTGTTCCGTGTTTTTGAAGGCATTGGTTGGCCGTATTCTAGAGAAAAATGCTGATTTGGTGTATTCTGTTGTTGTCAATCATTTGCGATGCCGTTTGTCATTCTGCCTACTTCGCTGGTGTATCACCTGTTTACGTGGCTCTAGGTCCTCCTATCGCTCTAAGCGCTCGGCGAGCTTTGTGAATGACTGCCGTGTGCTCTCTAGGGCATAGTTTTTCTTTGTCATCATCTCGTATAATGTCAAAATGTGATCTAAAGTTTGTTTTCCGGTGTCCTGAAGTTTTTTCTTCTGTATGAATCTCGGTTTCAATTCTGGCGGTGTTCAAGCAGTTCTGGTTTGGATGTTTTTCTTTCCTTTTCCTTCCCCTTTTTCATGTATAAACATTGCTGTTGCCATTAATTTGTTATCTTTCTATTTTGTTACAATTTTGCTGTTCGCCTTTTGAATTCATTGCCCTCCTTGCATTCACATCTTCATTGCTTTGTGCTTTCAATAAAAACACATTTCAGTAGTAGTAGTAGTAGTAGTAGTAGTAGTAGTAGTAGTAGTAGTAGTAGTAGTAGTAGTAGTAGTAGTAGTAGTAGTAGTAGTAGTAGTAGTAGTAGTAGTAGTAGTAGTAGTAGTAGTAGTAGTAGTAGTAGTAGTAGTAGTAGTAGTAGTAGTAGTAGTAGTAGTAGTAGTAGTAGTAGTAGTAGTAGTAGTAGTAGTAGTAGTAGTAGTAGTAACAAGGCCTCTTTTACGGGCAAATGACGCATATGCGTAAACCAAAAGCAACAAGAACCTCAATAAACAATGTCCAGTAAAAGAATCTGCAGACTGCAAAAAAGGACACACGGTAAAACTCAAGTCCAATAGATCACGTATGGTACGTATGTGTGAACAAACCAAAAGCCGATTGAGTGGTGAATGTGGAATGTGTAAGTTGAAAACTCGAGTCTGATAAATAGCCTATTGGGGTATATGTGTAAAAACATCATAAACCAATAGGGTGGTGGATGTATAATTTGTCTGCGTGTGAATGCTTATTTCGATCTGTCCGATAAACAAAACAAACTATTATAAAAGTAGAAACAAAAAAAAACAAAGACATGCTCAAAAACAGATATGTCCGTTACGTCACAACATCCGTTTAGGATCGGCCACACAGCCCCATGCCACTACCGGAGCAGCCTGCACTCCGTGACAAACGAATTGCCACGGCGTACGCCTCGAGCTCCCCGGCATCCACGCAAACAGGTTACGGCCCAGCGGAGGAGGCAGAAGGTAATCTTGGCACGAAGATGGTGCATGACGACGGAGTACTGTAGGTCAGAGTGTTTCTCCACCACGCGCTGAACAAGCCGCTTCAGGAACATTCCGCACTCTGCCCCAGCCATGCCATTCGTGGCAAACACCAACGGAGTGAAGGCACCTCGCTCGACGTCCGTGATCCTCTGGCAGTATTTCCGCTTCTTCTCCAACTCGTTGGTGCGCAGTTGGCCAAGGGCTTCCGAACGCGACAGCAGGGACACTTTAGGGTGGGTGACCCTGACATCAAAAAAAGCGTCCTGCTGCCTTGTCCAGAAACCCCCGGCCCTGATGTCCAAACGAGCTTCAGCGCTGCGATTGGCGGTCCGGCCGGCGAGCACCTCGCCATCGAGAGGGAGCAATCTAGGCTCGACCTCCACGTCCGGCACGACATCGCCAAGGACAGCCGCCAGGGTATCCCGGATTTCGTCGTGACGTGCCATCGGGTACCCCCCCCCCCATGTGGACACGTCATCGAGTGGTATAGGGTGGTGTCCGCTCCACAAGCGCATTTGCACGGGACATCCAGTGGCAGGTACCCATAGCATATGCACACCGCATCTCGAAAGTCGTACTTATTCAGGATTGTCCGGTGCGCAGTAAGCGGGGCACACGTCAGCCATGACGACACACCCTTCTCACCGGCGATATTTGTGAGGCGGGGGTAGATCGGGATACAACGCCGCGACTAGTGCCTTCTGCGACTTCTCCTTGTCCTTGCAACATGAGACCGCTTGCTTGCGGGACTCGGTAACGGCTGCGACAGACGGGTTATCACGAACCGGCTGGGTGGTGTGGACCCCAGGTTCTGGCCGGGTCACAAGTCCAGGAGGATCACGAACGGACGCAGCAGAAGCAACTTTAGTAGTAGTAGTGGTGGTGGTGGTGGTGGTGGTGGTGGTGGTGGTGGTGGTGGTGGTGGTGGTGGTGGTGGTGGTGGTGGTGGTGGTGGTAGTAGTAGTAGTAGTAGTAGTAGTAGTAGTAGTAGTAGTAGTAGTAGTAGTAGTAGTAGTAGTAATAATAGTACTAGTATAGTAGTAATAATAGTACTAGTATAGTAGTAATAATAGTACTAGTATAGTAGTAATAATAGTACTAGTATAGTAGAAGTTCCGTACCCATCGTGGCCACCACCTATACATTTACTACATTGGCTCGAACCCACGACCCTAAGATTAAGAGTCTCGTGCTCTACCGACTTTTAGTATTCCTCTTCAGCCGAGTGTTCATCCTCGTTGTTGCAGTGCCCGTTGTCGCATTTAACTATTCCTCTTCAGCCGAGTGTTCATCCTTGCTGTTGCAGCGCCCGTTGTCACCTTCAGCCGAGCGTTCATCCTCGCTGTCTCCGGCAGAGTGTTCATCCTCTGTAGAGTCCAACCGGTAAATTGCTGTCTCTAGTTTGTTTGTTGGTTGCTGTGCTTCTTCCCCTGTGTTCTGTGTGGTGTGCAGTACCCTCACGGCGCAGATGCATCAGCACCCGGGCCACGGACCACCGCCGCAGCTATCTGCACCACCGCCGCCGCCTCCACCTCCCCAACCTCTCCGTCCCCTGATGCATGACCGCTGCCCAGAGGACGTACGCTGTTTTATCCGACTTATGCATATATGCACCTTTGTGAGGGGCAACGTCTTCCACATTTGGCAGGTACAGCCAGTTGTAGTTCATTTGTGGGTATGATGGTACACAGTTAATGTACACACTATGATACCAATCCTGTATCAAAATGCAAGATTGGTATCACAGTGTGTACCGGTTTAGTGGACTTGCCCCTCAAGATCAAAAGGCGGGAGTATTTTCACGAGCACGTAACCCCCAAGAGTGTGCAACTCCAGCTATGGGGTCTGCGACGACAGAACTTCACATCACGGGCCGAACCCATGCACAATTTTGTGCACCATCTGCATCATAGATACCGGGTTGTATGCAATCCTGCTTTGGATCCGACTCTCTTGTGGCCACTTTGCACTGTTTGCCAGTGTAACCGTTTGATCCATGTCACGTGATGTGAAGTCCTGCCATCGTCGCAGCACTGCATAGAGGTTGTGCAGACAGTTGCACACTCTTGGGGTTGCGTACTCTTGGTCATGTACATACGCCCCATTGACATTCGTCAAGCAGCACACATAGGCCACACATAGGACAACTTACGGTTGCGGATGTAGGCCAGGACGGCTGGGGCAGCTAGGATTGACACATTACTGCTGAGTCCAATTAGCTCACACAGACGGTGGTCCAAAGCCAGCGATTGTCCACTTATATCACTATGTACCATACAACAACAACAACAACAATAATTCTTCCTCACTCTTTCTCCTTTCTTACACTATTATCTCTTATTGGCCACTGGCTATCGTGAGAATAAAGATTTGAAACAACACAACAAAAGACGTTCCCTCCGACCTGCTTTCAAACAAGAAATCTACTCACTGCTGATTAACTCAATCTGCTCATGCAGTGTTCACCCTCTCCCATATTTGTAAAATTCAAAGCGATGTGAATTTCTTTCCAACTGCAAAACCCGCAGCCCCACCCACAGCATCTGACCTTCTCATTAACTTATCTCTTTTTTGGCGATGGTGCCATCGTGAGAAAAAAGAATTCAAAAAACAACAATGACAACAACAGCGCATTCTCTGCGCCACAATTATGCCCCACCACATATACTCTCGATGCATACTGCTAGCAACGTGCAACCTTCGTATAATTTACGTCGCTCTCGTACTTGGCACGTGCCAACTCCGCGGACTGACCGCTGTCTCCATTCTCCCCTGTACAAGGCCCTTCATTACTTTAATTGCTTGCCCACCCAGCTTTGCGAAATCCCTTCTCGTACTCCCTTCAAATCCCAGATATCCCTGCTGTTGCACAACTCTGTATGCTCGTGTAGCGACCACCCCTGCCCGTACACTTAAGTAGTCATTAACCCCCTAGGCTATGCCCACCCAATTCTTCCTCACTCTTTCTCCTTTCTTACACTATTATCTCTTATTGGCCACTGTCTATCGATTTGAAACATATACTTTCGCTGCACACGCGGCCATCGCAGAGTGCAACCCCTATTATACTGCAATATAGCAATGTTCAAGTATTCAGAGTTTTCCTGCAGCGGAACATCCTCATGACAAATCTACGTTGGTGATGTCGGAGATGAGGTCATCAACACTGCTACGAGGTCATCAACACCGCTATGAGATCATCAACACCGCAATGAGATATGCCAGTCACTTACAGAACCTGGAATTGTTGCATGCGGACCACACCGCGGGGCAGAGCTGTTAGGGCGTTGCCAGACAAGTTCCTACACAACAAGGTAGGACAAAGAAACAACATTTTGCAAACACACCAATCAAGTGACACAGTGTGTGTGTGTGTGTGTGTGTGTGTATGTGTGTGTGTGTGTGTGTGTGTGTATGTGCGTGTGAGAGTGTGAAGTTGCTGTGCAGGCGTGTTGCTCGCTTGGGGCACGCTTACCCTCCTAAAAATTTCGACCTGGGGCATGTCCGATTGGTAGGACCCGGATCCAGATCAACCGGATCCATTGGATGTGCAACCTTTCGATTGGTTGAATCTGAATTCGGATTCTTTGGATTAGGATCCGGTCAACCCACCTCGGGGAGCAGGGTTGACCGGATCCACCGGATTCTTTTGTTTCCAAAAACTGTACTCTGTACGTGGTACATGCACAAATGGTGGGAATAAGAGATCGATCTGGATCCGGATCCAACCAATCGAAAAACGCCCCTGGGTTCAGTTTGCACGTTATGACCATTTACAATATATAATGAATTAATAATGACATGCACCTGCCATTCCTACACATGCATTGTATGCAGCCACCCCCCCCCCCCCAAAGGGGGACCAGTTACACCCCTGCTGTGACATAGCATGCAACTGTCTGATGACACAGCTATCAGCATCTGGTTTTGAACGGTAAATTGCTGAATTATGATTTCCATTCTGCTGGAATTATGCCAGTGATCTTGGAACATTAAGCTAGAATTATGCCAATGATTATGCTACATTATGCTGGAATTTTGCCAATTGTTGTGTATCGGTAGAAAGACTTTTCAAGGCTCATTTTGTTGTGGTCCTTTCGTTTATCTTGGTTTGTTTTCCGTTCTGCTTTGACTCGTATTTGACTGGTTTTGGTTGCATGTATAGTTTGTACATGACATGATCCAAGTAACGGTTACGTCATTGTCATGCGTTATGTTTTGTTTGTGCGCATGCTTATATGCTGCCATAATGTTAGTCTTTTTCTTCAGTTATCAGTTTACCTCGTCGTGTCCGGTCTTCTTGTTTGTCCGTCTCCGTCTTGTCAAGAAATTATGTAGAACTCTTAGTTCAGTTTCATTGTTGTGTGTGGCGAGTCGGATGGGCAGGGAGGCTGGGCCCCTGACGCCTGGAGAAGATGTGCTGGTGCACAAAACCAATGATTATGCTACAGTATGCTGGAATTATGCCAATGATTATGCTATACTGTACCCTTGCACTCTTGTTGCACTTTGCAACGTTACAACAACTCTGGCACCATGACAGCACGGCTGATAAGGTGTAATATTCACCAGCTTATTTCCGGTAACATGCCTAAATATACTTGGAACCATGCCAGAAACCATGCCAGAAACCATGCCAGAAACTATGCCAGAAACTATGCCAGAAACTATGCCAGAAACTGTGCCAGAAACTATGCCAGAAACTATGCCAGAAACTATGCCAGAAACTATGCCAGAAAGGTGCTATGGTATTTTACCTGTGAACGAGAAAAGTGCCTGAAAGTGGCTGAAAAGTGAAAGCGAGCTGGGGGCCCACTTTCACGTACATTTACACCAAAAAGCGCGAAACAAGACTTGATTTTTTACGCGGCTCTTTAGAGCATGATAATTATCGTATTGTGTTTTGAAAATTTGAAATACCCATGGCTACTGGTCGGTAGCCAAAGTCTATTGCAGCCAGTATTAACACATTAGCTGGCCAGCACATTAACTCATCAATATCAGCTTTGGAAGTACACTCATATCACGGTTACCCGAACCCCAAAGTCAAGGGCACTTTGGTCTACCGGGCACCCTCCAGTGGGCGAGTTTCAGTGGAAATATTACAACTCTTTTGTAACTTTTGTGGAAATAGTGACGTCATATGCCATATCCGTGGGTTTTCCCCATCCAAATGTATGTGATTCGGGGTTACGGACTTTTCAAAGTTCCAGGCCGTGCCCTGTTCCGGAGCGGCCGGATAAACGAGGTATGAGTCTATGATTGTAATGCCATGGCAACATCCATTGAGAGCTTTGCCATGGCAACATCCATTAAGAGCTTTGCCATGGCAACATCCATTGAGAGCTTTGCCATGGCAACACCCATTGAGAGCTTTGCCATGGCAACATCCGTTGAGAGCTTTGCCATGGCAACACCCATTGAGAGCTTTGCCATGGCAACATCCATTGAGAGCTTTGCCATGGTAACACCCATTGAGAGCTTTGCCATGGCAACATCCATTGAGAGCTTTGCCATGGCAACATCCATTGAGAGCTTTGCCATGGCAACATCCATTGAGAGCTTTGCCATGGCAACATCCATTGAGAGCTTTGCCATGGCAACACCCATTGAGAGCTTTGCCATGGCAAAATACATTGAGAGCTTTGCCATGGCAACACCCATTGAGAGCTTTGCCATGGCAACATCCATTGAGAGCTTTGCCATGGCAACACCCATTGAGAGCTTTGCCATGGCAACATCCATTGAGAGCTTTACCATGGTAACACCCATTGAGAGCTTTGCCATGGCAACATCCATTGAGAGCTTTGCCATGGCAACATCCATTGAGAGCTTTGCCATGGCAACACCCATTGAGAGCTTTGCCATGGCAACACCCATTGAGAGCTTTGCCATGGCAACATCCATTGAGAGCTTTGCCATGGTAACACCCATTGAGAGCTTTGCCATGGCAACATCCATTGAGAGCTTTGCCATGGCAACATCCATTGAGAGCTTTGCCATGGCAACATCCATTGAGAGCTTTGCCATGGCAACACCCATTGAGAGCTTTGCCATGGCAAAATACATTGAGAGCTTTGCCATGGCAACACCCATTGAGAGCTGTGCCATGGCAACATCCATTGAGAGCTTTGCCATGGCAACACCCATTGAGAGCTTTGCCATGGCAACATCCATTGAGAGCTTTGCCATGGTAACACCCATTGAGAGCTTTGCCATGGCAACATCCATTGAGAGCTTTGCCATGGCAACATCCATTGAGAGCGTTGCCATGGCAACACCCATTGAGAGCTTTGCCATGGCAACATCCATTGAGAGCTTTGCCCAGACATGAACACTAAAGGAGCAAGGATCTCATTAACCTACAGTTTTGTAAGGCTAGTTGTGTTGGCGAAAAGAGTCAACGGCAGCCAATTCAGATGGTTCTTGTCCAAGCGTCTGCATGGTGGAAATACGATACGCACAAGCAAGAGGACACATGCACACACACGTTCACACACACACACACATGTACACACACATACAAGCATGCACGCACACGCACCATTGGACCATTGGACCATTGGACGCCCATCACCGGAGGCGATGATAGCGATGCTACAGCAGAAGCCATAGCCACTTGTGCTGGGATTGCACCATTCATCAGCTTGCAAGGCTGAAGAATTGACCGCCACTTTTCAGCCTGGTCTACACCACACAGCTATGAAGTGGATTTTTCTGGCCAGTGAATCCCTACTTTTTGGTCTTTTTTTCTTTCTTTTTTTCCCGCACTCACATCACACCACATACTCCGGCATGCACTGGCTGTTGGTAACCACCCAGGAGAATGAAAGAAAAGTCAGGAAGAGTCTGAGAAAGAGAAGAAAGACGTGTGTGTGTGACCATAATCGTTGGGAATCGAACTTGCAATCTATCGATTGGCTGCACATACCATTGCACCATATGGCACACACACACACACACATACACACACACACACACACACACACACACACACACACACACACACACTCCACAAACTCATACACAAACTCACACACGCACACACGTGCGCGCACATGCACACCCTCACACACAGAACCACTCACACACATGCACATCGTGTCAGTATAGGAATAAAGCAGAACTACACATGCACATGATCCCACAGACTCCAAGGTAGATGAAGTCATCTCTGCGCACAACTTGCTCAATGCCCGGAAGGATGGTTCTTCCTCATATGTAAGATGGAACAACATTTTATTGCAAGTCCGAGTTTCCTGCTTGCACCATCACCAGCCAGAGCATCAACCAAAACTCATGAGAGAGAGAGAGAGAGAGAGAGAGAGAGAGAGAGAGAGAGAGGGAGAGAGAGAGAGGGAGAGAGAGGGAGAGAGAGGGAGAGAGAGGGAGAGCGAGAAGGAGAGGGCGAGGGCGAGGGAGAGCGAGAGCGAGAGCGAGAGAGAGCGAGAGAGAGAGAGAGAGAGAAAGAGAGAGAGAGAGAGAGAGAGAGAGAGAGAGAGAGAGAGAGAGAGAAAAAGAAAGAGAGAGAAAGAGAGAGAAAAGAGAGAGAAAAGAAGAGAGAGAGAGAGTAAGAAAGAGCGCACGTGCGTGAGCGAGAGAGAGAGAGAGAGAGAGAGAGAGAGAGAGAGAGAGAGCTATATAGAGAGAACAACGCCAACAATAATATTGCTTGATGTGCATGCAATTGGTATGATATGACATGTACAATAAACATGTTGTCTGTTGTCTTACATGTTTCGCAGGGCACTGGTTTGTTGGAACAATACACTGGGTAAAGTTGTCAATTTATTGCCTGACAATTGCCTGTAGTGAATGGACACACACAAGCACACACACACAAACACACACGCACGGACACACACGCACACACATGAAAACGCACACACAAGAACACGCAGACTTGTCCTTGAATGCTGCAAGAAACTCACGATAGTTGAAAAATGGATTTGGGAAAGATGATTCATTTGGGTAGTTTAAAGCGGTGAAAATTGTAAAATTGTAAAATTGTAAAATTGTATGAATGAACAAAGACTATGAAATGAATGGATATCACCAGGTTGCCGCTCTATACCTAGCTGCAGGTATCCTTGCCTTAAGTGATGGCAAGAGTGTATAAACGCCAGGAGTATGCATCTGCCTGTACAGTCTCCATAGAGTGCTGCGACGACGGAAGAACTTCACATCACGTGACATGGTTCAAAAGGTTATGCTAGCAAACAGTGCACAGGGGCCACAAGAGAGTTGCGTACAACCCTGTATCTATCATGCTGTATCTATCATGCTGTATCTATCATGCTGTATCAATCATGCTGTATCTATCATGCTGTATCTATCATGCTGTATCTATCATGCTGTATCTATCATGCTGTATCTATCATGCTGTATCTATCATGCTGTATCTATCATGCTGTATCTATCATGCTGTATCTATCATGCTGTATCTATCATGCTGTATCTATCATGCTGTATCTATCATGCTGTATCTATCATGCTGTATCTATCATGCTGTATCTATCATGCACAGGGTGAACATAATTTGTACGAGCTCGTCACGTGATGTGAAGTCCTGCTGTCGCAGACGCAGACCCCAAAGCTGGAGATGCACACTAGTGTGGGCTATGTAGTCTTGGTGATTGGCTGTTACATCAGTAGTGTATCTGATAGGGGCTACGCACAAGCATCGGCCAATGTACAAGGGTGTGTGTTCATTTAAAATCTAAACCAGAAGTAGCTGGAAAACACGTAAAAACCTTTTCCTCACAGACAAATATATTCGAGAAGTGAAGAAGGGCACTCGGTTCAGATTCACGGTCAATGTACATGTGAGTTGTGACAAGTGAAAGCGGCCGCATAGGCCTGAAAACTGCATGGTGTACTTCCTCATGACAATTGTCGGATTTCGCTTACCACAGCTCCAGTTAACCCATTTTCTAGCTAAAGACGTACTAGAGCCACGTAAACCCGTCATGTGCGAGCCATGAATAAGGGTTGTGGTGGCGTGGTCAATAAAAATGACGTCTCGGTGCTGAGGATCATGATTACAGTCAACTTGGCTAATAACGACTGTGGATATAACGACTGTGGATATAACGACTGTGGATATAACGACAATTTGCGACTAACGACATTATTTTCCATGCCCAGAGCAAAGTCCCGCCTAACTGTAATAAACATAATGAGACTTCGGGAATAAGGACACTTCGCGAATAAGGACACTTCGCGAATAAGGACACTTCGGGAATAAGGACACTTCGGGAATAAGGACACTTTGTGAATAAGGACACTTTGCGAATAAGGACACTTCGGGAAAAAAGGACACTTCGGGAATAAGGACACTTTTCTGATGCCCCGCCGAGTGCCGTTATATGCAAAGTTGACTGTAAACGTATTTTTCAGTGCCAAATAAGGAGTGCAGACCCTGGATGCCTTGACCTGCAACCTAAACTGGGTTAAACGGGTGAATCAATACGTACAGGGTTTCCAGTTTGGAACTGATTGAAAAGAGCCCACCGGGTAGCTGGGTAAGATTGTTGTTGTCCAGGTCACTACAGTCAACATATACACAGAAAGAGAGAGAGAGAGAGAGTAAGATCTGGTTGCACACAGCTGCGGAGAGGGTGCTCAACGTACAAAAAAAAACAGAGCAACAGAGAGGTTCCGCACTACGTAAAGTTGAGCAACTTTACGTTAGTGGGCGGGAAAAAACCGTGAATTCGCGAGTTTACACTCCACTTACGGAAAGTTGTCTACGGAGAGTACGTAGATAGGGCTCTGATAACGTAGCTGGTCCGTAACTGGATTGGGGTACAAATTTATGACTCTCTCCCCAGGTCGATCTGGTCGTACACTGCCGCGTTCAGAGTTGCCAAGGGCAGCTACGTGATTTGAAAACTCCGTATGGCGGAACCCAGATGCGCATGCAGCTTATGTAAGACTTTCCGTAGATCGACTACGTTTTTTACTAACGTAATTACGTTATGCGGAACCTCTCTAATGACACAAGTCATCAAGCGACGGAGAGCCGAGAAACTCGTTGTTACTCCGAGTTGCGTGCGAAGCACTCATCAGACAACTTCATAATAATTATTATACTGTAAGACATGTATATATAACGAGGAAGTAAATCTAACGTTTTAACGGATGACATTTCTTCGTTATAATAAGATTCGTTCAGGCTGTATTGCTTCATATATATTGTGCGTGGATATGCTTGAATACTGCAAGAGCGTTAACATATCGTCTCGTTAACCTATGGATTTTGGACGATCGTTAAATTTGCGACTCGTTATAATAACAGTACATAATATAATATTGTGTGTGTGTTTGTGTGTGTGTGTTGTGGGGGGGGGGGGGGGGGGGGGAGGGGAGAGGGGAGGGGTGCGCAAACATTCCGCATGACCAAGTTATAGCCTGGGACAATGGAACAAAAAAAGTGATGTACTTCATCATCACTACATCATCACTACATCATCACTACATCATCACTACATCATCACTACACCATCACTGCATCACCACTACATCACCACTACATCATCACTACACCATCACTACACCATCACTACATCATCATTACATCATCGCTACATCATCAATGCATCATTACTGCATCATTATTATTATTATTATTGAAAAACAATCCAGAAAGATACTAATAAAGAGAAATGGAGTGAGAAGAAACAACACCTATGAAAATGATAATCCTAGCACTAAGGTAATAACAGGAAGACATTCTGATTCTTCTTTTTCTGTTTTGTGCCGTGCTCGTCATGGTTATAAGTTACAGTTGAGTGTGTTAGAAGCTGTTTGTCAACGTATTCATAAGCCTAATCTGTGTGTCCAGAAGGACAGCATTATTCGTTTGAAATTGTTTTAGTAGCAGCTTGTTCTGTCTGTTTGGCCCTGGTTGGCCATGGTGTCATATCTTGTGTCACAGTATACTAGTAGTCCTTATAAGTTCGTTAAGTGCTTTCGCAGTTTTTCCTGTTATTACCTTAGTGCTAGGATTATCATTTTCATAGGTGTTGTTTCTTCTCACTCCATTTCTCATTATTATTATTAACTTTTATTTTACTATCATCACTACATCATCACTACATCATCACTACATCGTCACTACATCGTCACTACATCGTCACTACATCGTCACTACATCGTCACTACATCATCACTACATCAACACTACATCATCACTACATCATCACTGCATCATCACTGCAGCATCACTGCATCATCACTACATCATCACAACATCATCACTAAAGTCTGTTTCAAAAAGAAATGCAATCAGGTTTGAGTATGAAGATAATAGGATATTCACACGACAGGCAAATCCACGTGCACCGGAAAGTTGCTATGGTATTTTACCTGTGAACGAGAAAAGTGCCTGAAAGTGGCTGAAAAGTGAAAGCGAGCTGGGGGCTCACTTTCATGTACATTTACACCAAAAAGCGCGAAACAAGACTTGATTTTTTACGCGGCTCTTTAGAGCATGATAATTATCGTATGTGTGTTTTGAAAATTTAAACTACCCATGCCTACTGGTCGGTGAAGTATTCAAAAATGCAAACGTGCCTGTCGTTGAGTGCAGCTGTGTGAATCCACACAGTCACTTTTCTCCTATGTCACTCCCTGTAAAACGTGCAAGTGCCTGTCGTATGAATACCCCATAAGGGAAATTTGGACAACAAAGTACATAGAATGGCTTGTTAGGACACGGCAAATTGTTCTGTGAAGGTTTCGGAACAATTGGATCAGCCGTTAAGGAGTTAGAATTTCGGCCAGGTTTCCAGCCTTTTTCAATGGTTTTTCGACTTTGCCCAGGAAGCTAGTATCAATTTTTTATCAAAACCCATGATTTATCCTTTCCTTTTTGGCCTTGTAGTTATGAATGCTGCCTGCTGACCATGAAGTTGTGAGTTTAGATCCCACCCTATCCTCAAGCCAAACTTGTTTTCATTGTTTTGGTGATCAAGCTGGTACAAGACAAAGAAGATGGCTGCACCAAACGACTTGTTGTTGGAGCTCGCGCTTCCTGCCGAACTGACTGACACTTGACTGGCTCACGCCATGTTAACTAGGGGCGAAACGGTTACCCTTTAAGGTTACAAACGGGTACCAGGCTTAACGGGCGGGTTATCGGGTACCCTTTAGCAGCCAATAGTAACAGTTACTATACATTTTCTGCGAGGAGGACATGCAAAGTCATGCAATTCACAGCAAGTGCACTACAACGCGACAAGCGCAGCATGCGCACGTACTGCGCTACATGCAAAACAGTCAAAATTGTCTAATTTAGCAGGATCGAACAAGCAACAACACATTCAACCTGTACATCAAATTGAACAACTGTGCAAATCAGCTAATATTACCGTACTGTACCGTCGTACACGACTAACGGGTACTCGTTTGCTAACGGGTCAGCAGCTAAACAAACGGGTACACGGGTACCCGGATCACCCCTTTCACCCCTAATGTTAACACACCCACAACACTGAAATGGTGTGAGTGAATATGGAAGTCATCGCGCTGTAGCTTTTTGAGGTTTATTCAAGATCGCCAATTTCTTTGAATTTAGCAGTCAACGCCGTCTTCTATCAGCGTTCACAAGCGTCCGCTTTTCTTAAAAATTTCGTCGAAGTCACATGGATAGCTTTGACAAGTCATGGCCTTGGGAATGAGTCCGTTTCGAGGTAGTTTTCGTCACACGGGGAGTAAATTGCATCGCAGCTCAAAGAAACTATTAATTTTATAAGTTTGTCCAGGCAGAGCTCGAGTGCTCATACGGTAAGACGCCAAACTCCGCCGGCGATCGCCAGGATTGAAATTCTTTTTGAAACGGACTGTACATCATCACTACATCATCACTACATCATCACTACATCATCAATGCACGACTTACACTCTTTTAAGGTTGTGAGTATAGGCAAAGAGGTCACTTGGCAGGTTAGTAAGCTTGTTATTGTCCATATTACTGTGATAGGAAGCATAAGCAGTAATGGACACACATACATACACATACATACACATACACACACACACACACACACACACACACACACACACACACACACACACACACACACACACACGACCTTGATCTTGCCCATTGCGTACGCAATGATAGCGAATGTCGGCACACACGCACACACACACACACACACACACACACACACACACACACATTAACTACAAAACACAGCAGCTTGCGGTACGGAGGGTGCTGGCCAGCGAAGTGAGAGGCCGCGGGAGGAGGATATTATCAGAGAGACACCGGTAGAGGCAGAGACAGTAGTGAAGACAGAGAAACAACAGTGGAGACAGAGAGACAGTGGTGGAGACAGAGAGACAGCAGTGGAGACAGAGACAGTGGTGGAGACAACAGTGGAGACAGAGAGCCAGCGATGAAGACAGAGAAACAGCAGTGGAGACAGAGAGACAGCAATGGAGACAGAGAGACAGCCAATGGAGACAGAGAGACAGCAGTGGAGACAGAGAGACAGTAGTGGAGACAGAGAGACAGCAGTGGAGACAGAGAGACAGAGGTGGAGTCAAACACAGCAGTGGAGACAGAGAGACAGCAGTAGAGACAGCGGTGGAGACAGGAGACAGCTGTGGATAAAGAGAGACAGTAGTGGATAAAGAGACAGCAGTCGAGACAGATAGACAGGGGCGGAGACAGATAGACAGGGGCGGAGACAGAGAGAGACAGCGGCGGAGACAGAGAGAGACAGCGGTTGAGACAGAGAGCCAAACAGCAGGCAGTGTCGTACGCGGCCAGTTTGAAACTCACAAAACTTCCAGCAATGGTGTGCTAATGAACAGTGCCTGTGGTAGAGCTTGTATTCCAGAAAAGCTGAAGTCACTGCAAGAAGAGAATAGGAAGAAGAGGAGTGGCAAAGAAGAATGTGCATCGCAGAAAATGATAATGAAATGATGACCTCATCATAAGTCTTTTACGACTTTACTTGACATAGGCCCTCACCACAAATGCGATAAAAGTGTTATAGGCCATTCACACGACGTGTAAACACTTGCACGTGTGTGATCAAGATAACACTGGCACACCGTCATCCAGTTCACACGGTGCTGGGCAAAATTTGCAACCGTCAATGTATCCATAGTGACCTGAAAATGCCGGGAAATGTTCAATTTTGAATTTTCCCTTGTTCAAGCACTGCATTTGCAGTACGCACTTTCAACAACCAACACTTTTCCTGGCGTGCAAAGATAATCGCGAGCAAAAGGGCCTCGGCCAAGATAAAAAATCAGTTGCACGCGTGTGTCAAAGTTTATCGTATCCGAGTAAATATCCTTGGAAACGGTACGATAAAAGTAAGTTTGCCCGTCGTGTGAATGGCCTATGAGGAGAACAATAGCAACTGCCACAAACATCCCATGTGTGCTTAGGGTATACCACTACAAGACATTTAAAGTCTGTGGGGACTGCCCTAGTAAAACACGAAACAACACACACTGCTCCTACTACTACTACTGCTACTGCTAGCACACTACTACGATCACATTTCTCAAATGAATAGGTCATGTCTCTGAGATGAATTTGTCATGTTCCTATTAAAGATGATTACGTCTTGTTTCTCAAAAGATTACGTCATGTTCCTGGTAAGATCGCCTCGTGTTTCTCAAATGATTACATCATGTTCCTGAGATGCTTACACCATTCACTAGGCGAGATGAGCAACTGCCGGCCTCAGGCATTGGTATACATAGGTACCAGTACATAGGCATGCATAACTATGCGCTGCCCTGCAAGCCTGAGATAGATACTGTTGCTGGCGTATATTGGCTGGGTGAGTGATTGGTGAGAACGATATAGGCAAGGTATTGGTTTACAACAACTGAGACCACCCACCACAACTTGTCAGCACCACAGATCCCCGTCCCCATCCAATCTTCGAACACACGCACGCACACACATTCACACCCACACACACACACCCACACACACACACCCACACCCACACCCACACACACACCCACACCCACACACACCCACACCCACACCCACACCCACACACACCCACACCCACACACACACACCCACACACACCCACACACCCACACACACACACCCACACACCCACACACACACTAGACTTACACCTTTATCAAACTTGGGCCGGAATTAGCAAACGCACCGGCTGAAACCTGAGTAACTTGGAACTTGTGTAATTTACTAAATGAGCACACACACACACACGCACGCACGCACACACACACACACACACACAGACGCCCAGAGACGCAGACATGTACAGACACACACAGAAGAAGAAAAATCAGATGTGATAAGGTCAAAAGAATAACTGTCAAAGAACATGAAGAGAAAGAGAGAGAGTGAGAGTGATGGGGGGGGGGGGAGTGTATGAAATTACCATATTCGGTGCAACGGTACAGAGCAGAGCAGAGTAGACGCGGATCTCTTCCCCCCCCCCCCCTCCCGCCTCCCGTGACTCTAGAAAACGCCAGAACAAGGCGTGGGGCCTCTTCACTCGAGTTGAGCGAGCCGTATTCTCGATGCCGAAAAGCAGCCTGTATACTGTATGGCAACTGCCCCATGTCTACCCCCCCCCCCCCACTGTCTACCCCCCCCCCCCCACTGTCTAACCCACCCCCCATGTCTACCCCCCCCTGTCTAACCCCCCCCTGTCTAACCCGCCATGTCTAGCCCCCCCCCATGTCTAGCCCCCCCATGTCTAACCCCCCCATGTCTAACCCCCCCCCATGTCTAACCCCCCCCCCTCCATGTCTAAACCCCCATGTCTAAACCCCCATGTCTAAACCCCCATGTCTAAACCCCCATGTCTAACCCCCCCCCCATGTCTAACCCCCCATGTCTAACCCCCATGTCTAACCCCCCATGTCTAACCCCCCATATCTAACCCCCCATATCTAACCCCCATATCTAACCCCCCATGTCTAACCCCCATGTCTAACCCCCCATGTCTAACCCCCATATCTAACCCCCAAGACGAAGTGAACACTGTACTGTAGTAGTCATACTGGGCAAAGTTTTAAACAAAGAAAGAAAAAGGCAGAAACTCACGTGGTGGCTTGGTTTGGACACCAGACGACAACATTGTTATCACACACACAATCGCCACATGGAACAGTTGTTGCTTGTCCAAAGGCAGTGAAGCAGAGAACGAGCATGGCAGAAAGAACTGCCATTGTTGATATCTAAGACAACATTCACGAAGACGTAAGCAGAGAGGAACAGAGTACAGGGGCTTAGTATTTTTATGTGTGTTTGTAAAGTGAGTGAAAGAGAGAGAGAGAAAAGAGAGAGAGAGAGGGAGAGAGAGAGGGAGAGAGAGAGAGAGAGGGAGAGGGAGAGAGAGAGAGAGAGAGAGAGAGAGAGAGAGAGAGAGAGAGAGAGAGAGAGAGAGAGAGAGAGAGAGAGAGAGAAAGAGGCTGTGTGAGAGAGATAGAGCGAGAGACTGAGAGAAGAGATGGCGAGAGACAGAGATGGCAAGAGACAGAGATGGCGAGAGACAGAGATGGCGAGAGACAGAGATGGCGAGAGACAGAGATGGCAAGAGACAGAGATGGCAAGAGACAGACCACGAGAGACGCGCTGGAGACATTATGAGGGATAGATTGCCATAAGCAGCAAAATGTTCAAATAGGCATTTAGATTTCAAATCTCAAGCCTTGCAGTATATAATAGGGAGGTTTCGCTCTACGTAATTAAGTATGAAAATCCGTATGCCGTACGCGCCGGGGAGCGAGGGCAACTTTCATACGTAAATCTCTCTACGGATTTCCGTAGGAAAGCTGTTTCCTACGTTGGGTCCTCCGTAGGACTTTTTGAAATATTTTTTCGCATTTTCCGCATTTGTCCATGGCAACGTTCAAGCCGCGCGAAACACAAGGTACACACACTGTACACCACGTGCAAAATATAATGGAAAACGCGGTTTCGGTTCATGGTGCATGCGGTGGGCACATGCAGCCAACGCGTCGCCAAAGCAACAACGCATGTTTAGCAGTTGTGGAGAAATCACGTAGAGCGAAACCCAACAGCTCTGATTTTAATGTATGAAAATTCCATGCAGTTCCTATGTTATTTTCATACGTAATTCCGTAGAGCGAAACCTCCCCATTATCAGCTACGTAGGTTTTCCATTGCTCACTGGATTGATGTATGTCCATTACAACCAACCTTCCGTTTTCTTTTCTTTCTTTTTTCCTATCTCTACTTTTCCACAATATAATTGTTATACACAGTGGGTCAAATGTTATTAACATTAGGCATTATGCCTGTTTTGATTTCCACTATAAATAACGTATACAGCAGAGACAGACCACGAGAGACAGAAATGACGAGAGACAGACCACGAGAGACAGTGATGGCGAGAGACAGACCACGAGAGACGGATCAGAGGCAGCGAGAAACAGGGACAGTGCAGCGCGAGAGGAGGAAAGAAGGAGGAACATAGTGCGACAGACGGAGAGAGCGAGAGAGAGGGAGCGAGAGCGAGAGAGAGCGAGAGAGAGAGAGAGTCGAGAGAGAGAGTGAGCGAGAGAGAGAGAGAGTGAGCGAGAGAGAAACAGAGCTCGGGGCGGAGAGAGCGACATAGGAAGAGGCAGCGAGAGACAGCGAGAGGGATAGAGGGAGAGAGAGAGTCTGAGAGAGACTGAGACAGAAAAAAAAGAGCGAAGAAAAATGCCCCGACAGAAACAGAGACACAGAGTAATTCGTCGCGCAGTTATCACACCAGTTATCACACCAGTTCTACACGAGTCGTAACTGTTACTTGTACTGTAACGGAGTGAAACCGGACATTGAGTACTGTACTTGGCGAAGCCGGGAAATGGAATCTTAAGATACCGCCTTAAAAATCACTTACACGTTGGCAGGATGCTAGCATTGTCGCTTGACGATTGCTGGTTCGCTGCTTTCTGACCTGGTGATAGAGGACTAGTGATAATAATAATAATTATACTTTCCGCAAATATTAATTCCGTAGTAAGATAAAGGAGATCGGTGTTCGAAGAGAATCACTTCTCTATAATTCTCGACAGGTATCTTATTTACTGTACTCGTTGTGCGGAAGGAAGGGGTAGGGCTGATGTGAAGCTCTCAGTCAGAATGATTGAAATGAAGCGCAGTTGTGTGTTCGACACCAGGTATAATTATATGCGACCAGCCTCGCCTCCGCAAACCGCAATCCGCAACTAGCTCAGAGTTCAGACACCTGCGCGCGCATAGCAATCATAGTACATAAAGTGCACCAGTGCACAGTGGTGCATGCAGTACTCCTACCATTATACTAGCAATAAAAACTGCTTTAAGCGGGATTCACAGAAGCTTTTCTGCGATGCGACACGCGATGCGACGCGATCTGCGACGGACGCGTGCGATGCGAACTCGCGAAATACCATTCACAGAAGAAGTCAGTGATGCGACAAAATCTTGCTGATTTGGCTACGTCACCATGATATTCGCGCGGTTTGATACAACTTGTACAAAGGTTGGTTCACATATCGCCGGTACGCGCCGGGAGTCACCGGCGGTGGGCCTCTCTTGCAATTGCAACCTCTCCCGGCGCCTTGCGATTGTGTGAACCTGTCCCAAGCGCGCCGATCTCATACGGTAAATCATCGCAAGGGATCGGCGGCAAAGTTGGACAGTGCCCAACTCTTGCAATCTGCCCCGGCGCCGATCCCGTACGATCTTGACCAAAAGTGGCATGTGAACGGTTCGCGCCGGTGATCGCCGGTGATCGTTTCCAATACTTTGACAAATTTTGGCGACCAACATCCAGCAAAGTCCTATTATAAAAAGGGCGCATGCGGAGATGTCGTTCTCTTCATCATTTTCTAAAAATGGCAACTTCAGGTGGCATCGCAGACCCTTCATGGATATTGTCCGAGACTATCGTGCTATTTACGATAAAGGTCAGTGGTACAAAGAGCTAACTACTTTGTGAGTGTACTGTGTACCAATTCAATTAGTTCCCATGCATGATTAGTAGTAGAATAGTAGTAGTAGAATTTATTATTTTGATAGGGAAGGCCCTACAGACGTTGCCGTCTTGTTACAGGGAACCCTAAGTGCTCTTTACAGAGCGAAACAAAAACGGATAGATTCATTGTTGTTGTTTCTTTATTTGGGCTTTCTTTCTTTCCAGGGAGTGCCAGTTATCGCAATAAAACACACAAATCCAACGCCTGGGCAGAGATCGCTGAAAAGTCGAAGTTGGCAGTTGAAGAGTGTCAAAAGAGGTCAGATGATAACACAATTTACCACCATTATTTACCACAATTGTTTTATTATTATTATTATTATTATTATCAAATTTTTAATAGGGCAATCCCCACAGGCCTACCTTCAATCCCTCAAACTTGTGGATATAGGAAAAATTGGCTACTGATAATTTATGTCATTAGTTGATAGTCAAGTAGATAATTATTCGTCTGCCTGCAACTAGTGTGCACTACTACATGTACATAATGCTCTTGATGTGGTCTTTCTTGTAAGATCTAGCTTACTTGATTTTTGAGGGTATCACGCAAATATTATGATATCCCTTTGTACAATGTATGTGTTTACAGGTATTCGAATATCCGCACAAGGTTGTCTAAGTACCTCCGCAGCAAGAGGGATAGTGCCAGGTTAGTGAACCAAATACCGTAATATTCTGCAGACTCAACAAATTCCTTTCCTTTCTCTTCCAAATGCAGCTTGTCCATTCGCCTTTACATGTATATAATTGGGCTTTCCTCCCATTTATTGTTGGAATTAAAATAAACCAACCGGCCAACCAAATACTAAACCCATTGTTTCAGCCACTAATTGTTGTTTGGTCAACCCACTAATTGTGTGTAATAAATAGAACACTGTAGTTGAATTGGCTGATTGTGTTTTGGATTTTGTTCAGGTCAGGGCAAGGGCGGGATGACCTTCCGCCCATTGACATGGTGATGGAGAGTTTGCTATGGCTTCAGCAGTTTGTCCAGCACCGGAAGACGTCGACTAACGTGAAAGTCGAAGGTATGCGATTTTCAGTGATACCTCCAGGAATACTTACATGAATTAACAAAATGTTGACATGGCACAATAATTATTGTCTTCATTCCGATGTACATGTAGATGAAGCAAATATACTAGAGAAGTACTTATTGAAGTACATAATTTGTGTGTTGCAAAAGAAATCTGAAAGGCTAAGCCTTCAACTTCCTTCATAAAATAAATTATGTTTGTGATCGTGCTGTGCCCAGGTGAGGACGATTCTGGTGCGTCAGACGCCATTTCTGACGGAGACGATAAAAAAGAAGGTGAGAAATTTAGATAGATTGGAATACAACCACTGATAGGCGACATAATTGATGTCCACATTAACTTCTAAGTGCATAGATAAACAGGCAAACACTTTTAGAGTATTTATAATAATTTTGAAATGAATTTCCATTCCCTGAAACTTCATAAGTAAATACAAGTGAAAACTATTTCTCAGAAACAGTGCTCAAATTTGAACAGGTGCATGAAAGGGAATTGGATGTATCATACAATGAGGATGTATTGCATGATCTAAAATGATGGCTCATTATGTTTAAGATTTTGTGATACGTCCGTGTTTGATACAATTATGCTTCTTCACCTTTGTTTCCATGCAGACGACATCCAAGTCGTCAGCGATGACGACGCAGGCACGGCACCCACCATCCCTATAAAGAAAGAACAGAAAAATAGAGTCTTCCCTCAGCGCACACCCAAGAGAAAACGGATTGGAAAAGTAGAAGAGGACTTGATTCTTTCCCTGACAAGCACGTGTGATGAGATTAAATCGGACGACAGGAACAAGGTTGACTTCTCGGACCCCGTCACCTTGTTTTGCCTCAGCCTCGTCAAAGATCTTCGAGGACTGGAAGAAGCAACGTACGATATGGCCAAGTTGAGGATCATGCAAGCCGTGCATCAGACCAAGTACCCGGCCTCAAACGTCTCCGCTGTGTATACACCTATGGTATCGCAGAAGCCACCAATGCAGCAACCAGTGCTCCAACCTGTGCTACAACCTATGCAGCAAACCATGCAACAACCTATGCAGCACGTGCAGCAGTCGCACCATCATTCGACGTATGGTTACCCTATCACGGAGGCACATACTCCTCAGTGATGGCTTGCAGTTTTATTCAAATTATTTATTAACCGAAATAAAGGCTTACCTCAGTCATAATCATCGTTTGTCTCCAACACTGGTGACGTGCTCTTCCTGCCAAGGCAGTGTACTGCTGGGTTCCAGAATGAATTGCAAGAACTTGTCACGCGTCTCTTTCGGATGCATAGCAGGCCATAATTGTTGCTTTCTTGTTTTTTAAGGGGGCGCAACGCATCATCCGGGCCGGGTGACCTGCACCATAGAACAATCCAGGTAAATCACGATTATGGCAATTTGCAGAAATGGAAGGGGAATGAAGGAAAGAGAACTACCACTTCAAATGAAAGAAGTCAACATCGACAATATTCAATCTATCAATCGTATCCATCTTTAAAAAAATTACCATTGTGCGCCATTGACCTTCCTTCAATTCTCCGCTACTGTCTTCATTGTCGACAAAGCCAGATGGCAAGTATGCTGCGTTCTCATGTGCCAACAGGTAATTGTGGAGGCGAACGGTTGCTTGGATTATTAGTAGTGTTGAAACGAGCGTATCTATAACAAACGAGCTATCAGTTCCACTAACGAGCAAGCTATCGAGCGAGCTAACGAGTTTCATTGATGTGGCAAATATGATTATTTTTTTGAATATTTTTTTTTCTGAGTTCGATTTTTTTCAGCTGGTTCAAATTACATGAATTATCACCGCCGGCATTTGGAGTTGCTGCTGCTTCACTTCGGACTGCTGTTTGGTGTCGAGATGTCTTTTCAGCGCCGTGGTCGATTAGCCTTTGTAAGAATAGACCGTTTTGCAAAGATTGCAAGTAGCCCTGGTCTTCGCTGCATCGCGGGAGAAAACTTCCAAACGACTGAGCGTAACTTTCACTCGAATGGAGAGGTGACCGAAGCATATCCTGCGACAGGTCAGCAGATGCGGAACAAGACATCAGTAGAGTCCACCAAAGCTGCAACGACAACTGAAACAACTCAAGTGTCGTGCAGGCATACAGTCACCTGTAACTGCGAGTGATTTTCACTTTGCGCGGGACTGGACTCTCAATCGACCAGGGAGTCGTAAAATATTTTACGACTCCCCGGTCGACATGTACTGCCATGTGTACGGAGTACGGTGTACGGTGTTCGTTAGTGCAAACGAGCTGGCCGCACAAACGAGCCGAGTTTCTGGCGAGCGAGCTAACGAGTATCCGGTGAGATCGTTTCAACACTAATTATTAGCTCTACAGTCTCGGTGTCCGCTCTGCACAAAGACCACAAATTGAAGAAGGGAAACGAAGAATTTCCAATACAGATCCAATGAAATTGGGAAGAATGACTTCACTGAGAGCGTATGGCAGCTTTTTCATTTATGGATCAATTTGTTAACACAGCTTGTGATAGGTCGAATGTTCCACTTGCAATGGTAATGAGTGGCATTTCTATCCGCTAGCTGCACTGTACCTTATGGTGCGTCGGAAGATTGATTGCTTTCTTGCTTCGACTTCTGCCGCGCCTTTGTTCTCGTACTCCCCTTTATGTACAAGTGTTGTGCAGACCCTCCCTTAATATAGTCTGTCTCATTTTGTCCTGAGATGTTTTGATGCATAGTGATTATGACGCTCATCATTCGCTCCCTTGTCACTGGACAGTTCTGTCCGTTTGGTTTTAGCGAATTCAAATAAAGAAAACAACAACAAGATCCGCCACTTCGCAGCAAGAATACCAAAAGCATTCTCTATGGTTCTTCTCGCACGAGACAGCCTGAGCATTGCATGAAACAGTAAAAGGACGGAATACACAATACTGAACCATATTCAACGTAAACAATTCGCTTCAATTTACACTACAGGTGATCAGGTCAAAGTAACATTTCCAGAGCTCACAGGCATTACACAGAGTCCCTTTAAAGAAAATTGAAATGAGGCCAAATTCTATTTTTTTATTATAAATAATGCATACATCATGTAGATCCATTACAAGCATTATGGCCAGTCGTATGCATACCTGTAATTGAACATTGCTTTGTCTTTGTTCAATTCTCTGGCGGCATATGGCTTCAGCAGCCAGGTGCGGAGCGGGAAAATCTCGTCCCCCAGAACGACATACGGCAGCTTGGTGCCGTTGACGGTAGCGGGCGGCGGGACACCAACGCTGTTGTTCTGGAGGCATGCTCCCATCTCCGACGCTGCGAAGATTGACGCATCGTTGTCCCTGCCGTAGGAGCCAACGTCAACCATCGTAAATGCATAGTTGGCATCGCACATTGCCATCAGTACGAGACTGTGGAAGCCTTTGTAATTATAAAAATTACTTCCACCAAACTTGGGACATTCCATGGCAACATGTTTCCCGTCAAGGGCACCAATGCAATTGGGGAAGTCCCACTTAGAGTAGAACTCCCCTGCAATGGCTTTCCATTGCTGGGAAGTTGATGGCATTGGGAGATACCTTTCATGCAAACATTCCCAAATGGCTTTGCATGTGTCCCTAACTATGTAGCAGACAGTGGATCGCCCAAGAAAGAAATTAAAAGCTTGAGATTGCTGAGAATCTCCAGTAGCCAGGTAACGGAGCGTTACAACCAACCGTAGGGCCGCAGGAATAGGCTTACGGGAACGGCACCTGTACGTCAGTCGCTCTTCGAGTAGCGAGAAGAGGTGCCTAAATCTACCCGATGACATGCGCATGTACCTGAAAAATACAAAAAACAGACAAGGAAACATTCACTGGGCAAGACGCAAACAAGGAAACCCAAGAAATTATACAAATGTTGCTTGATTACCTGGGAAGAATTACACTTTCAAAACACATGGAAATGCTATTAACCATAAATAACCATGGGACAAGATTAATAGAACCTTATAGTAAGCAGTAACTAAGTACTGAACTTAACTTAAAAGTCAGATTTTGGGAGAACTACTTACCGGAAGAAATACTCCGGATCTTCTCGTTCAAGCTTCTGGAACAAAGTAGAGTACTGTCCCAGATCCTCTCTCTTCTACATGTGAAATTATCATAAGAACAATTAATTTTAACAAGAACAATTTAACAAAGATTGCAGGCACATAGTGTTTCATGCTGTATATTGTACATTGTATAAAGTATCCACGCTGAATTTTCATTATTTGTCCTTCAAAATTCATAATGATTATTATTATTATTGTGTTTTCAGGCCATGTTCTATGATGATTGTCTCTACACTGTCTACAGCTCAATAAATTTATTCTTCGAAATACTAGAACAAGTCCTGTGTGTGTGTGAACCAAAAGGACAGCAGGTCATGAACTGGTCATGGACCGGTCATGAACCGATCATGAACCGCGAAGTGACACAGATTGTCAAAAATACTAACCTTCCACGCAGGTCGGACCCACCAGCGCCGAGGTCTTCTCCTGGCCAGTCGCAGTCTCCGCAGCAATATCAGCTGAAGCAAGATCTTCTTTTTCTTCAGCAGAAGAGATCGCCGTGTCGCCATCTCCAAAAGAAAATACAAGCGCCCCAAAACTCGGCAAAACCGAAGGGAAGAGAGAGAAATCACCCCTTCTTTGATATTCTTTTTATAGCATTTTTGGCACGTGTTTTCGTACTTTTCGTACTATAATGGTACTCACACTGTAGATCGGCTGGCACCGGGGCTGATCGTGGCTGAGGTCCTTACGATGTCTTACGGCGCCGATTTTGCTTATGTGAACGAAGCATTTTAAATCGGCGCCGCAAGACATCGGCGGTGAGCCAGCTCCCGATCCGTTGCGCATACGGTTCGAGTACCAAATCTACTACAAAGTAGTACAGAATGTGCCCAAATGCTACGACAGGTTTGCCAATTGAAGCTTGAATTCTTTGTTTCTTCAGTAGTTCAAGGTCTTTCGGTGATGGCCACTCGGTGCTACCTTTTACTGGAGATCATGAAAATACTTCTACACATTTTATTGCAGTCTAGTAAGCGATTGTGTCGAAATTATGCTTGCAAACGTTGGTGAAGTCACAAGAACTTGCCAATGTATCCATCATATTTTTTATTTGTTTCAATTGTATTTGTCTCATAAGTTGCACAATGATGAAGCAGATCATCCGAGAAGGACGGGCTGGTATGCTGACTTAGTTGCCAGCTTGAAGCGACTACAAGAATGGCGAACGGACCTACTCTCTAGCTTCAATTTAGGAAAATTTAGGACACGTATTGGTTTGATATTTTGACAAAGTCTGGCTCCCGGCAGCCGGCGATCACCGGCGCGAACGGTTCACAAACCACTTTTGGTCAAAATTGTACGGGATCGGCGCCGGGGCAGATCGCAAGAGTTGGGCACTAGACATCCTTAGCAAAAGTACGATAACGCTAACTTTTACGGTACTCACTCCCAGCCGTGACAAAAGACGTTATCGGATAACGGAAAAACGTTACAGAGCTCAAAATAACGGGCCGACGTTCGTTATGGAAATTCTGCAAAAAATGCAAAAACTCGCATTGTTTTGTAACTGGCGGGAGATAAAAAGCACGTCGTGCAGATCGAGATGAGATCGAGAGTCGAGATTGCTTCCTCTTGTGACATTTAGCTTTTTGGCGAGTTTTGCCTTTCAGTTGACAATTTCTGCGTCCTCTGCTTCGTGCCTTTCTCCCTCTATCCCATCTGGGAAACAAAGGACCAGTTCCACGGCACTCCTGATGAAGAAATTCATCGGCCTCTCCCAGACGTGCTGGAGCTGGAGAACCCTTAAGCTGTGTTCACAACTGGCGCGTGTACGCGTGAAACCACGCGTTTGTGCGTATTTTTGCTGGCTTTTGGGGCGCCATGCGTACGGAAACGCGCCGAAATGGAACTTCCAACATGTTGGAATTTTCAGCGCGTATCAGGCGCGTATCAGCGTACATGCCAGTCACTTTGACTGGCGGGGTCAAAAAATTAGTACTCAAAGGTGTCGCACGCGCTAAATACGACTCGGATTGCTGTTTTTTGTGAAAGGCTGAGCGCGCGTTTGGGGGCGCATGAACCGCAAGCGTACCGCGTCCACGCGCCAGTTGTGAACACAGCTTTACAGTCTTCGGTGCTGCGTTTAGGAAAGGGTTTCCAAGGACCTGGGAACAGCGAAAACTCATGTTCGCCGTGCTTTTGCTATTCCAGAGTAAAAGACCTCGCCAAGGTATTCTTTCGGAACGACAGCAAACTAATCCCTGGTTCAAAATTTTGAATTTCCCGCATCTGTTTCCACGAAAATTCATATCGCCATGGTTGTCACGACTACTTCGTCTCAACTATAACGTACTTTGTGCTAAGGGAAAAGTCAGCTTGAACGATCCGAAGTACGGAAAGGTTTGCGTTTACGTTAGCGTTTTTTTAGCTAAGGATATCTACTGTCCAACTTTGCCGGCGGTCCCTTGCGATATTTTACCGTATGATTTTCTTACGACTGCACGGGTTCACACAATCGCAATTATAGCAATAAAAACTGCTTTATGGCAGCTTTCTTAAAAAAGTTATTGTGTTCTAGTTCTGGGTCCGGCATAGGCTATAGAAAATTTATAAAATTGCTTCCAAACTGGCTTGGACTCCGTCTAAAAAGTAAGAAATTAACGAAATGTGATTGCCGAAAATTAAAATTTCACACAAAACCTCACAATAATCACAACACTTGACAATCAAATACTGCTTTCAACACTTGTTTAGTCTGGCACTGTACTTGGACTTGTACTGCACCAACATGCATGCATGGAAAAGAGGATCACGAAGGGAAAAGGTCTTCTAGCTTTTCATCCTGTGTGTGATTATTGTGAGGTTTTGTGTGAAATTTTAATTTTCGGCAATCACATTTCGTTAATTTCTTACTTTTTAGACGGAGTCCAAGCCAGTTTGGAAGCAATTTTATAAATTTTCTATAGCCTATGCCGGACCCAGAACTAGAACACAATAACTTTTTTTAGAAAGCTGCCATAAAGCATTTTTTATTGCTATAATTTCTTTTTTTTTTTTTTTCTGTCACCAATCAACGGAATGCCCTTATGTAAATGTTGGCCTTCACATCATGTCATATTATTATTATTATCAAATTTTTGATATGGCAATCCCCACAGGCCTAAGGCCTTCTTACAGGGTACCCTAAATCAATACCGCGTATTATACGCATTGATGCGCAAGCCTTTTCTTGCAGAAAATGGCACTAGCATAATGCATGTTCTTCTGCTGGGGAAACAAGTGGTTAGTGGTGGTGATACTTTTTTTATACGGAGGTCATTCTGTGCATGTTGCTCTTGCAGAATTTCGTGACTGTCATAAAATTGTCTTGCCTTTCTGATATTTCAATTTCCCCACCCTCGATCAGATTTACTTGAGAAATGTAGCCAGGTGCGTGTCGCAGATGTTTTTGTTGATTCTGTGTTTATAATTGTTTATAATCATGGGTTATCGTGATAAGGTCATCCTGCATCATATTGCACTGAAATCGTAATCCTGTTGATGTCGATACAACTTTTGGAAGTAGTTCAATGACTTCAAACTGTTAGTCCACGATTTTCTAAAACAACACAGCAAAGGAGGAACAATAAACATGTATTAAAATGTAAACAAATACATTGTTGAGTCCGGCACCTCGTTCCAACAACTACACTGATCCTGAGGATAAAAGGGGCAAGGCCATTGGAGGTCATTATTATCAAATTGTCAAATATTTGATAGGGCAATCCCGCAGGCCTAAGGCCTTCTTACAGGGTACCCTGGAGGTACTGAGAGATAAACAAGGCACTCCATAATAATAAAATGTTACACATCTTTTGCCGTGAGTATGAATGATATCCAGTCGAACCTCTTTAGGACGAACACCAAGGGACCGATGGTATTTATTTTGTGAGTTTGTCTTAACCTATTTTATAACCAGTGAATACATTTCTCCAATAAACATACGAATAGATTTTTTCTCCAGCGAAAGATTCTAAGCCACACCGACTCGTCTCGTATGAAACAAATGAGTCACTGAACCTTTCTTTAGCAACATGACGGCAACTGAAACAGCAACAGAGAAAGTACGATACATGTACAGCGCATTCTTGCAGGTACTACAAACAGATTGCAGATCGTAATTTTTGCTTTGGCCGCACGCAAATTTATTTGGGGCAGTGCAATCTCGGCGGTACTCACAAATCAAACAGCCCAGATTCGAGTAAACAAATCCAATCATACAAGTACGAGATTTTCACGAGACGAGACTGCACCCATTGGCTTGTTTCGTATGAAGCAAACAAGTCACT